TTAAAATTTATTAAAAAATTATAAATTTAATATAAAAATTTATATAAAATTAATTTAAAATATTTAAATTAACGAGTTTTAACCTATTTACACAAACACTAAAAAAAAAAAACGATGCCTGTGAGGGGATGGAAGGATTACTTGGGTCCCATTGTGGGAATCAATGGTCATGATTAGGGGAGGTGAGACTTTTGAGGGTTGAGATGAAATCAAGAAGGGGGAGTGGGAGTGGCGGATTAGCACGAGAGAGAATGATGAGGGGATGGGGGGTCCACGTACCATATTGGGAGGCCTATTGAGAGTGTGTGGGTTTGTGGGCCTCAAGTAAATGTCCTCTCCGTGTCCTTCCCGCATGCAACACGGCTCAGATGGCGTGCCTAAAATCTGTTTTCGGTCCAGATTGAACGCTCCTTTTTTTTTTTCCCTTTTTTTTTTCTTTTGAATTATAAATAATGTTTAATGTTCTTAGACATCGCAAAAATACATAAGGCTGAGCGAAGCAAAACTATAGGCAAATTCTAAAGGGAAATTGAAGTTCAATTTCAATAATATCATATTTTAATAAATATTTTTAAAATTAATTATTTAACTTAATATTTTATTTATGTAAATTATTTATATTAATTTTTAAATTAATTAAATATGTATAATTAATTTATTAGTCATTATTATTCTTCTTCTTCTTCTTTTTTGAGATTGGTAATTTAAAAGAGTGGTGGAGCCCGAATCAGCAAACTCTAGTACCACTGCATTTTAGGGAACCCAATTAACCACTAGACTGAACACGGTAAAGAATGGTTCTAGCTTAGCTCGTTTATGAAATCAATTTTTCATCAAAATTCAATCTCAACTCTTTTCCCAACCATATTGATAAACTATACTGTTTATTGATCAAAAGATCCCAAAGAATATAGAATTTGTCATATCTAAAAGCGTAACAATTTGCAAAGCATAAGCATATATTCTATACAGGTATCAACATTTTGAAAAATCAATAAAAATTTAATTAAATTGATATTTATTAACTTAAAGTTATTAATTTAAGATTAAGATGAGATATTCATACTTATGTGGTACAAAATAACTAACTCTTTTATTTTAAAAAAAAAAAATCACTATTTTGAGGATAAGAATCAAATTGAATAGAGATTGTGTTCAAATTTAAAATGATATTGAAGTTGACCTAGAAAAGGAAATGAAGTGCTCTGCATTTTTTCTTCTTCAACATATTCTCTAGATGTTTATTTCAACAGGCATTATTCTTACGCAAATTCGATCCCTTAAGGCTTAAGCTAATGTCAGGTCTCGAAGTTCAAACTTCTAAATTTTATAGCTGTAATGCATTTTTTGACAACATGAGCATTTGCGAACCTTTGCAGAACAGAGGAAAAGAACATTCCCATGCCAGTTATATTCTGAAAGAAGTCAAGGAAATACCATGAATAAGGCTAATCTGTCATGATCTGCCTTTCATGTTGCTATTATAAAAATCTCCTCTCTCCCAAGAAATTAATTCTCCATTGCTTTAAAAAATTAAAAAAAAAAATAAATAAATTGAAACCCCTCTTTTTAAATAGTGTTAATAATGAAAAGCAACCGC